ATGGTATGGGAAACGCCGTGTTGGAGAGAATTTGCGAAAGAAGAGTAGAAGAAGGTCTTCCTGGCATGGCAATTCAGTGGGGAGCTGTTGGAGATGTCGGTCTTGCAGTTAACATGTTGGAAAATAGGCAGCAATTAGAAATTGGTGGAACATTGCCCCAAAGGATATCTTCGTGTTTGGAAGAATTCGATAAATTTATGTGTCAGAGTAGACCAATTGTGGCTAGTATGATAGTGGCAGAAAAACGTCCGAGTGCCAGTGAAGCTGTCAACGTTCTTGAAGCGCTGATGAATATAATGAGTAAGTATTCTTCGAAATCATGCACTTTGAAACCCTTTATTCACGGTTGCATACCATATAAGCAAATTTAATCCAATATCGCAATTTTATCAGAAAAATTGTTCTTTCGCATTAGATATAAAGGATCTTAAAACTGTGAGCCAGACTACTTCTTTGGCTGAACTAGGGATGGACTCCATGATGGCAGTGGAAATAAAACAAACTTTAGAGAGAGATTACGAAATATTTTTGACACCGCAGGATATCAGAGACCTAAATATCGCCAAGCTTACGGCAATGTCTACCAAAGATACCAAAAAGCAAACGAAACAAACTAAGAAGAGAGTTGAAAAGACGGAAAATTTAGGTGGCATGCAAATACTGATGAGGACCATAAATGTTTCTCTATTAGATGGACAGTATTGTGTACAACTACCTGTTAAATGTGGTCAGAAGAAGAACGAAGTATTCCTTATACCCGGTATTGAAGGATCTGCTGAAATATTCACTGCTTTAGCACCGAAATTAAAATTACCTGCTACTTGTCTACAACTAGGAATAAACGATTCGGTTGAATCTATAGAAGACATGGCTGATCTCCTCATACCTGTACGTTTTCTAAGAAAAGATGATTTGTTTCATTTTGTCATTACCATCGTTATAAATAATACAATTTTTAATTTCCGTTATTTTTTAGCACATTCTAGCAAGGACCAAAGGTCGCAGAGATTTTGTGATTGTGGGATACTCATATGGATCACTAGTAGCTATAGAGTTAATAAGGAAACTGGAAGCTCGTGCGTTAGTTGGGCACCTTATATTATTAGATGGTTCTCCCGATTACATGAAAGCCATAAAGTTTGAACACTTCGTAGCTGCTTCAGAACACGAATATCAAAATAAATT